ACGCCAAGAGCAAATCTTCCACAAAAGACCTTTTCAATCCTGTGGCCGTTGGAGAAGTTGAGACCGTGAAAGCTCGGCGAGGAAATCTGTAGTGGACAAACCTGAGCTGCTTGCAATGTCGGCACACAGCAAGGGAAGCCGTCGCAGTGCACTGCTTAAGGAACATAATTATCCCTTCAGAAATTCAGCCAGCTATACCTCTGCAACCCGGCGACCATTGCGATTGTACAATATATAACCATCCTGAAGTACATAGAATTTTGGTACAACTCAATCCCGCGGCACTAAAAAAAATAATAATACATGGAATATCGGGGTCCCAAAAGCATCTTCAGGATGGTTATATCAAAACACCCGCGTGCCTCGAATCGAAACACCCGCGCGCGCGCGCGCGCGAGCTCGCATCCTATGTCCCTTTTCCTTCTCCCATCTTCTCCCCTATGCCCCCTATCTTCCACAGACCATTCCACGATATTCCAAGTACTCGTTTGATCCGCTCGGAGATATTCTATGTACTTTTTTGGGGGGGTCAAAACGAGGTACTTAGAATATGAAATTGAAATGACGGAAGGTACGTTGGCGGCTCAATTCCGTATTCTATCTACTCGAGGATGATTATACATAGTTATAGTTATAGTCATAGTATGTTGTAGTGAAGTCTTAGTGAAAGTGAGTGAGGGGAAAATGTAAGATGATATGGGTCGGGAGGTGCGAGGAGGATGAGAAGAACTGGGATGGCACACACAAAGCAAATGAAAGCAGGGTCAAAAACATTACAGGCCCAAGGCTGAGGCAGGAGTTGAATTTGTGATCGGGGAGTGCAGCCCATCCAGGACACTATCTTTAAAAGAAGCGACTGTGTGATACTCCTCTGGCATACCCGTGGAGTTACTGTATATATATATATTTATAGATATAGCAATTGTTCAGCCTGGTGGTTGCTGCAACAAGCAGACTCGCTTGCATGCCTTGCCTGGGCCCCAAACTGCTTCTGATCTTCCCTCGATTCCTCTGGATAGCGCCTGGAGCAACGCTCAAACACATGGACTAGCAGCCCCTCGAATCTAACAGTTCGTTTGTTGAGTTATGCTCTGGGTTTATCACAAATAAAATCGCACACGTCGGCAGCTTTGTGTAGGTTTGACAGGCTGGTGGCAGGTGGAACCACTCAGCGATCCGATTACTGTATGTGGCTGGTTTGCTGCCGGAAAGTAGTGCCGACACACATGGCAAGCGTGGAAAACTATATAAAATAATATACAATTGTACTTGCATAGAAAATCATAGAAAGATGTATCATATATAGCCTATGGCTTGGCTCTCTCGTGCCCAGCTTTGCTCAAAATGAAAGTGCGACGGACCCTGCTCAAACGAAAGAACGCGATTGTGGCCAGGCCTAGCTGCTTGTCCACACACGTGAACAAGTCCCGCTGGCTTGCGGCAGTGTGCGGTTCAATGCCAGTTTGCCGGCCTTCAATTTCCTGCATCAAAACGAGAACTGGCCAAACAACCGTAGTCTGAGCAGGCGTGAGCACACCAGTTGGGAGAGTAAGGAAATGAGAATGAGTATGAGTGAGTCGCATGTGCGAGTGAATGATTAAACTGCTGCATGTGTGTGTGCCAACACCTGTTTCCAAGGTTCGTGCCCGGTAAGTATGCATGCAGCAGGTTCCCACTTGAAGAAAGGATGCTACTAATGGTTTCTGGCCTCGCCACTAGGAACTAGAGGCCGCTAGACCCAAGGGCATCGCTACGCAGGGACAGGTATGCAGAAAAAGAAAAAGAAAAAGACAAAGAAGCAGGGGGCCACCGGGGTCCCAGAGGAGCGGTGGCCAACGAAGACCTCCTCTGGGACCCGTGCAAGCGTACCTGCATGTTTAAACCGCCGTTCCGTGTGTCGCTAGGCACTCAGTAAAGCGGCTAATGCATAGGCGGTCTGCTAGGTATTCAGCAAAGCGGCTAATGCATCTTGCGCAGACAAGTGAGAAACTCTTTTGTTAAAACCTACAAATGCTTGGACCTTTCGCCTTGCCGTTCTCTCGCCTTTCTTCCACTTGGGAATTGAGTTAACTGAAAACCAATGTCAGAGTGTGACCCGCTCAGTCGTCCCACTTGGGTGCTGGGTGTGATCCTCCGCAAGGAGGCGCCGTTTTCACTCCGGAATTCGTGTAACAGACTCCACCGTTTCCACCATGCCTTGGATTCTCTTAACTGATTTGGTCTCACCTTTGTATTCCCTGCAATTTACGCCGCCGGGCTTCACGGAATTTCCACTGAATTTCATTGGATCCACTTTCGCGTTTGTTTTTCATGATTTTCGCAGCTCGCTTTCGATTTCAAGAGTGTACAGCACCACGTTACCAACCATGACCTTTTTAAGACCAGTGACGCTACTGTCCACACTTCCATGTTTTTCACCCATGCGGTTTTTGAGGTACATGTCGCAGGGTCACCAAGCTAGCAGCTAGGTAGCTTTTCCTGTTGCATGCGCTTGTCATGCTCTTGGGTTCTTTCTCTCTTTCTGTTGCTTTTCGTTTCTTGAGGCCTTTCGTTAGGTTCCAGGTGCCTTTCCGACAAGGGTGCGCCGGCCCTAAATCGGCTTTACTTGAATGTCAGTGATGGCAATGAATTCGGGCTCCCCTCCCTGCCCCTGGCCTCTGTTGCTTTCCCACCCGCTATCTAGGGTTATAGAAGGAAATCGCACTCAACACACTTGTGTGTTGGTGCCTTTCCTTCTATTTCTCCTGTCCTACTTCTAGCTACCCGGGCGGTATAAGACAAAAGTCCCGCTCGCTAGCTTCTGCATGCATTGTAACTAACAGGCTTCGTAACTAGTCGGCCTCGTAACTACTCCTATCTTTCTCTCTTGCCCTCTTCGTTTTCTCTTCCTGTTTTTCTTTGTCTGTCTTTCTAGGGCTTTTTAGGTGACTAGTAATCTTCCGGCACGCCGCTATCGGCGTTGTGTGTACAAAGCTGCAGAACAAAATTGTTTAACGCAAGGGGTGCAGAGCGCCGATTGCGGCATAATGTGTGTGTGTGTGTGTGTCAACACCTGTTTCCAAGGTTCGTGCCCGGTAAGTATGCATGCAGCAGGTTCCCACTTGAAGAAAGGGTGCTACTAATGGTTTCTGGCCTCGCTACTAGGAACTAGAGGCCGCTAGACCCAAGGGCATCGCTACGCAGGGAGGGGTATGCAGAAAAAAGAAAAAGAAAAAGACAAAGAAGCAGGGGGCCACCGGGGTCCCAGAGGAGCGGTGGCCAACGAAGACCTCCTCTGGGACCCGTGCAAACGTACCTGCATTTTAAGTAACTGTTTAAACCGCCGTTCCGTGTCTGCTAGGTATTCAGTAAAGCGGCTAATGCATCTTCCGCAGACAAGTGAGAAACTCTTTTGTTAAAACCTACAAATGCTTGGACCTTTCGCCTTGCCGTTCTCTCGCCTTTCTTCCACTTGGGAATTGAGTTAACTGAAAACCAACCAGCTCATGGTCTGTGGACAGAATGTCCTTGGGACCGTCGACAACTCAAGGCTGGGCTCATGATTTGCTTGTTCTGGTCAGTCTGTGTCGATGGTGCCGCCAGTGATGAGCTCAAGGAGGCTGAGCGCATGCTTCGACTGTTTCTGTGTGCTCTTGTGGGGTGTCAACCAGCCTGTCTTGCTAGAGCTGGAAAGTGAGTGCTTTTGCTCATTATTAGGCCTGCCTTGGCAAGCCCATCAGAGAGCAGTTGGAGTGGCATGGCAGGCACCTGTCATAAAGAAGGTCGAGGAGAGGCTTTTCAATGCCCATCTTCTCGATGAGGGCGCATGCTTCACTTTCGCCAGCCTCGCGACGAGTGTCCAGGTCCATTCAGTCCAATCAAAGCAGGGTTGCAGCCTTCTTCATGGATCTTTCCAAAGCTTTGGAAAGGATCAACCCGTATTGGATCATTTACATCCTAGATATCAAACAAGCTTCCGTATGGGTCATTACTTTGGCAAACCGACTTTTATTTGGAAGACGAATAGCATATAAAGTCCAAGGAATAAGTTTGCCGTCGCGAAGCGTTTACTCACCCACCCGAACTGAGCAAATGAAGATCTCAACGGCAAGTTGAGATGAGCCGAGCGGGTGTGCGTTGAGATGTGCTGAGGGATGAGTAGCTCAGGGCGAGTTGGTAGATGGGATGAAGGGAGTTGGCCGATATGGTGAGCCGGTGGACGACACAGCAAACGCAAGAGTCCCACACAACAGTTAACAAGCTCACAATGCACGGTCCTTGGAGAGCGGTTTGGCACCTACACAAAGTAGCGCGCCTTTTTGAGGAACATGTGATGACATGATGTGATGACATGTCGCTATTAGGTTGGAGGCCATCGCTAGAAGAACGTTATGGTTTTTTACTTTATTTTCCTGTGATGACATGTGCACATTGCTGTCTTGCCTGCAAAGTGCGGAACAGGCTGGAAGGACATTGGCGCGTGTGATCTGAGGGGGCATGATGGGAATAGGAGTGTGTGTTTTTTTCTTTTTTCCAGGCGATACTTTACAAAGTCAAAGTTGAAGTCAACCAGCAAAGCAAAACACTATTTTAACGTATTTTCATGACCATAGACACAAGGTGTTTAGTCTATTTGCTACAAAGCTTCTATTCGTTTTTCCCCAACGTGCAATCACAACGTCTGTGCACCGAATCCTTAGGATTGAACAAGAACCTGGAACGTATGTGGGTAACGCATGTGGGTAGTGTTCGGGTGAAACCTAGGCATAGAAGGTGAAGCAACTTCCGGCATGCACCTTCTTGAAGAAACTCTGTATGTCCACAATTTGTTTCAAGGTTCACTTGCTCCTGGGCTTTGGCCCTACACTTCCTTCGCACACTTATATACTATGCAGTCTGTGGTGGGAGGGAGGCATCTCCAGCTGATAAGTGACTCCGGCGCCCAGAATATGTAAATCCAAAAAGAACAGTGAGCTTCGGATCATGCTGAACCAGAAGCCCTCTGACTCTATCTGCTTGAGCTGAAGCTTGCAGCTGACTTGGGGCTTTGTTTTTGGAATGCATCAGTCGGTCTACCGGGGCTACCGCTTGACGGTTGAGGATTATGAAGCTGTGTCCAAGACTTGTGCCAGCACAACAAAGTTTCAAGAAACTGCTTTGCAATAGTGTTGAACAAGCTACGACCCTCATCCGCTCGAGTCTTTGACTGAGAGGGTTGAGGGTGTGCTGAAACTATAGCATACAATTGGCAACACGCAGTGAGAAAGTGTCGCTTTGCGACGACACAATCCCTTTTGTCACCACAGTGAGTTCATTCGTTCAGCCTTGGCTCTGCGAGCTTGACGAGGAAACTGGTCAAGCAAACACATTGATTCAAATCCCAAGGGTTCTAAAGCTTCCGAGTGGCGTCAGAAAATGTCAAATCAGATGGCTTCCGAGCCGTATCCGGTATCGACCAGTGGGCACCTGACAGGTACAGGTGGTGTGGACACGTTCCGCTGAGGGAAGAAAAGCGCACCTCGCTCGATAAGCAGCCCAAGAACGACCCAGGTTGTTGGGCTCTCTTGGCCCTTGTACTTGATGCGCCCGAAGCAGAACCTGGCTTTAGGCGCCCGTGTTGCTGGGGCGGTTCCACACTAGACTGAAATGAGTGTATGTGGATGTCGAGGCGAGTTTGAGATCGTGTACAGTGTTGGCTGATTTCCTTTCATGTGCCAGAAAGAAGTGGCTGCAGCTAAGTGGCCCATACTCAGCACCACGCAATACTTCGTAAACGGTGAACATTTCCTGGGCAGCGCTCGCCCATGCAAGCATCAAACTTAGCTCGACCACACACATTTCACACTCGAGAGATCTCGAGAGGGCACTCTTCAAGGTCTAAACAACAGAAACAAGCTGCGCCACGAGGAATTACACCCATGGGAGGCACCTTGCCTGGCCGGAATATTGATGCAGGCGTGAACAACTTCCAAAACCTGACGCATGAGCCCCTAGTAGCGTCCTTGTTCCTAGTAGTTAGTAAGGCCAGGAGCCCCTAGTAGCTTCTTGTTCCTTGTAGTACGGCCCGGAACCCCTAGTAGTAGCGTCCTTGCTCCTAGTACAAGGCCAGGAACCTTCCTTTGCTTTACGTTGGGCTCACGTCTCAGGGCGCCGTTTCTCGGGAGCAAACATGCCGACTTTGACGATCGCGCATTGCTCCAAAGGTGCTGTCATCTCGCAGCTCGTACACCATAAGTTCTCCCTCATCACAGTGGTGCACTAGCTTAACATTTGCATTTAGGCAAGGCCAACGCCTCTGGGGAAATATTTCGGTAGATAGCTGGAAAAGCATCCTGCAAAACATGCGCATCGATTTGAAGTCGTGACCACTTGCTTGGGTGCAGTCCTCTGAAGCCCGAAGAGGAGTGGTCCGACAAGGGTGCACCTGCCAAAACTCTACCAAATCCGAACACCAAGCACACGCAAGTGCTTGCGCAAGCAAATGCCTCTTTAGCTCCGGTTGCCCTGATGTCCGCCTTGGAAGAGCTTTGAATGTTCGCGCAAGGGCAAACTTCGGAGAGCGTTGGCTGGTCATCTGGCTCTGTCACTTCATGCAAGTTGCGAGAACACGGCCGCCAACATATTCGTTCCGCTTCATTGACCAAACCTAGGTATTTGGCTCATGATTTCAGTTTTGTTGCCTCGAGTTTCCACCACAGCCAAGTTACAATTCCTTCCTCAGCTTCTTAATGAACATACAGAAAGCGCCGTAAAGTTGAAGTGGACTGCCGTGTCGTGTAAAGAAACCACAGTAACTCGTGCATAAGCTCTGCGGGCCGGCTACATGCCCACCTCAGATCTTTTCCATCTGCTTCATGCAAACCAGCTGCTACTGGATAATGTGGAAATCGGGCTCTGGCGTTGTTCATGATGGCAATCCTGGCAGTGGGTTGTCAAATGCTGATCGATCGACAATTCTGAATTCTGGAAACATATATTGTATAAACATATATAAACACTTCAATCAACATCTGCTGTACCCAAGGTCTGACAAGGATCCCGTGGGTTGGCCAATCATCAGGCAACCTCAGCTATAGCATTCTACAAAAAATCAACAAACTTGTGGCCATGCATGAGGAAAAAACAATGCGCCAATGATGCATAGTTTCATGTCCAGAAACGGCCGCTTCATAATCCTCACGATTGACTCTGAGTTCCCCTTTCTCATTCACTCTTGTCAAGAGGTTGGGCCTTACACTTGAACAAGTAAACAAAACCTGTCTCATCATCCCCCATCCGCAAGGGCTTCGGAGAAGTTATCTCGGGGAAACGTGCTGTACTTTGATTCCTTCAGTGTCTCGCATGGCCACCTGATACTGGAACACAACACGCTCCTGATGACATCTTCTTCAGTGAGTTCTTCGTCATGGTCTGGGACTGTGTCATCATCGTCAACCTTCTCAATCTTCACGTCACCTGAACCGTTCAACCCTGCACCCTGCACATGCTTAAATAAGCAGCCGGGGGCCAAGAGTCAAGCAAATGCCAAGCCACGCTTCTTTGGCCAATATAAGTCCAGGCGAGTTCGCTTGCCCGGAACATTGGTACCTGCTTGTTGAATCTCAGGAGGCAATATGTTTGGCAATGCAGGACACAGTCATGTTCATGGCAACACTTTGTGAGAGGAACTGGTGCAGCATGAACAAGTTGTCAAGTGAGCCCACCTAATGCCCAGCTAGTAAACTCGGTATAGTCGATCTCCTTAATCAAACGCAAAAAGAACCCGGACACCATGCCTGTCAGTAGCGGCGTCCAAGCTAGACCGGAGTCGCACAACCAAAAGGATCAAACACACTTTTGAAAATACAACATTACTGCAGCTATTGAACCACATTTCCAGAAGGTGCCTTTGATGGGTTGGATTTTCCGGTGAGACTGATGTGTGTAGGTGAAGCTGCACATGTCCACGCATACGGACTCTGATTCTAAACCCTGCTTGTACCGTTGCAACATGACCAGAGTTGCTTGAATGCCTGCAACTGGCATCAAGCCTTCAATCCTTCAATCACGGGACCATCGCAAATATATAACCCCGCACACAAATAGAGCACGCTTGACGCTCGCGCGCCCGAAGCGTGCTCATGCAGGCAAAATCTGGCAGTAGTGGGAATGCGGGCAATGTCGCACTCTCCTCCCATTCGCATACACATACAACAAAGACACATGCAAGCTAAGTCTCGAAGTCATTATCTTTATCCATTGCCATCTGGAAAGCGGTCACATACTCCTTCCCCCTCAGTAAGTACAATGTCAATGTCAACATTTGTCAAAGTTGCTGTGAACATCGATGAACCACTGGCACTGTTGTAGGAAGCTGTAGGCAAGGTCGAGGTGCAAGCCAATACCTTCCAAACATCTCTCGAATTCATTGAGGTCCAATACACCATCACCATTGCCTTGGCACTCGCTTGAGTCTTTAGGCGTGCCGGCTTCAAACAGACCACAAGTGCGACGAACATAAGTTTGTCAGAGCGTCTGTCAGCACCTTGGGAATCCGGCAATCCCATGCAATCCCTCAAAAGACAAATCAAACATCGGCCCGAACATCGGCCAAGGACTCTCAATTATGCCAAGAAACTTTCGAAAACAGTCAGCACCCGGTTCATCATTTCATTGACTTCGGTCTGAGCTCGCATCACCTTGAGGTTCCGGGGCCTCAAAGCCTTCATAGCATCATCCATTTGCACATGCACACGTCCAGTCCTTGCGCTCGTGGTGCAGAATTTGCAGCACAAAGCTCTCACTCCACTCCACTCGTCACCAAGCCCGGCCAAGCCACTCGGGGCACCATTCGATGCAAGTGCCCTCTTTCCCATTGATGTCTTTCTCCGACTTAGCAACTCTATCATGAAGCACTTTGACCAAAATGCGGTTGTACAGTAGAACACATCTTTTCTCAGTGTAACTTGGGTAAATGATACACCTGGCAACAGGTTTTACAGCAGCCGGGCTACTCTAATGCCATGGACCATAACCCTTGTGCCCGGGGACAACTCCTGAGGGCACAAACATGCGCTCGGCTTTAGGTGCTGCAACGCACCCCACGAAGTGCTAAAGCATGTTGAATTTTGAAGTGCTAGGCTACGGTGCCATGACCAAGGCCGCGACACCACCCGAGGACCCGCGTGGGAATGAAGAGGAAACTTTTGCTGTTTCAGACATGGCTGGAGCAAGCTAAGGAAGCTCACCAAGCTAAAGTGGGGGTGTCGAAACGTTATTGAATGCACATGCATTTCTAGACTCAAGCACAAAACATCGCATACAACCCCCTTCATCTCCGCTTGCTTGTATAGTTGGGTATTACTCCGAAGGACCTCCATGCAGATTGCAACGAACCCTGTCTTTTAAATGTCCATCGTCTGGATTTTTTTCGACGCACAGCAAGATGTCAGGCACTCTTGAGAGCGTAGGAGGCAGGAAACATAGCAATTCCAGAGAAGATCACCACATTTCAATCATATCAACCACAATTGAGAATGCAAGAACATTCCAATAAGAAAACATAGCGGACCCCAAAATCAACCCCTTTCCACGACGCAAACTGGAGGCGCTTCCCGAGTGGACAGGTGAAACGGATGGCCTCGGCGACCATGGCGACCTCGTTTCGGCCTCGATGAGTCGAGCAAGGCGTCAACGAAAAAAACTTGAAAAACACAAGTGTTTATCTTTAATCTATTAACATGTATATTAATGATTATTAATGTATATATATATATGACTATATATATCTCTATATTGTAGTTCTTTTTGGGGGGGGGCCGGGCTGTTATGTTTCAAGAGGTATAGGCTAGTTGATAACTCAATTAGGTACTAAACACGTTCCTAGTAAATGAACGCAGGATAGCTTACGCTTCTTCAGGGAAGCTCCCCCCTGCCTGAGGGCGGGGTGGAGCTTCCTTTTTTTTGCTCTCCAGCCGTCTCAGAGGTCTCGGCGACCGACACGCTTCCGCGGTGTGGGTCTGGTTCCAGAATGGCTCTACTGACTCACAAGAGTGAGTCGCCAGGCAAGGCCCAAGAAAGAGGTGTGGCTTTGGCCCCTCTCTCAAAGGCACGGGACAAAAACTCCAAGGTCTGATTGGTTAGGTAGACCTCAGCACCAAAGAAGGCACCTTTCGGGAACGTCTTCCCGTTGCATTTATTGCCCTTGTCGAGAAGCAACGGAGCCACCACAATTTGTTTGGTCTTGCAGAACGAAATCGCCGCCCGAATGATGGTGGCATATGCTTGCGGCGTACAAATTGTTCCAACGGGCAGCTCAAACCTACATCCATGCAAGAATGCTGCAGCCGCAAGTTCAAACACAGAGCAAGCGAGTCCCTCACCAAGCTTCCAACGAAGGGAGTTCATGAATTGCAAAAATATTTTGAAATTGGCTCCAGAAAGGGGTGGTTTCTCCGGACCCTTAGTGGACACATCATTGCAAACATGCCATGTATACTCATCTGGCTGACTATCCCATGCCCAACGTGGGCATAGCTGGCGCGGAGTGAGCCGTTCTTGGGGCGCAGTGGAAACCGCAGGAACGGTCGTTGGCGCCACATCAGGTTTCTTACAGGTTCTGTTCAACATGGCAAGCCACAAATGTCTGGCATAGACATCGGTTTCTTTGGTACGCAGTTCCGCTTTAAGCTTAATCGCAACATCGTGAATATGTCTCTTGGCAAACTCATCTGCCTTTCGGTTCAAACGGATGTCCCTCAACGTAGACCCGGCATCAATGGCCTGTTGTTCAGAGATCTGTTCAATCGGGAGGTGTTCCAACAGGTGAGCCGGGCACCAAACAAGTTGGAGAGGTGTAGCGGAAAGAACCCTACGGCGATGGATGAGGGTTAATAGAAACCCCCACCACTGAGCATGCGTCCATTCCAGCTGAATCTTGTCAAGCCGTTGGAGTTCAGCAAACTGCTTCACAATGGTCAAGGAATCGGAATGCACGACAATCGGCTGCAGCTACTGAAAATGCGGCCAGAATGGCCCATAGCTCTGCGCTATAGCTGGATAGTCGCCAATGCCAAACCCGGCCAGAGACAATCAGGGATGCATCTTCCGCCACAACTGCATAGGAGGCCATGGTGAGCCAGGGATACTGCGCCAGCTGAACCGACCCATCTGTCCAGACATGTTGGCACCCCACCAATGGTTGTCTCCATTCTTGGACTTGGAGGTCAGAGGTATTAGCGACCTTCATCTTCTCACGAATCGTCTCAAGCGGGGTCTCTGCCACTCCAAGCATAGAGAAATTGGGCCCAAAATAGAAGATCGACCCCGGTTGTTGCAAATCAGGAGGTAGACCAGAACACCCATGCACGAAGTGTTGAAGGGACTCCTTCTCTCCACTGCAGAAGCGACATGCGGAGCTCTCCACAAGGCCAGATGCAGCTAAACGATCGGCTGTCAAGGTGCAACCGGTTAATGCACTTTCCCAATGACAAAGAAAGGAAAACCCAGGATTTGGAATTCCAGCAAGCTTCTTCTTTGCAGAGAGGGTCATGGGAAGGTCAAGGAATCCGGTGGCTTTCTGAATGTCCTTGCGTGGCATCAAACAGGCTGCATGATAGCACTTGTTAGCCGCAAGACTTTTCAAGATACACTTGAGGTCCCTGGCTGAAAAATCCAGGAAATGCACAGCAGGAGCGGCCAAGACAGAGAAGCAAAAGGGACTGCACCAATCAATATCCAGGGTGTGGCAAGCCTGACCAAACTGAGTCATCCAAGCTTGGGCGGTGAGTTGGTCCTGTTCATATAACTGCTGCCACTGTCGTCTTGCACGTATAGAGCTCTGCAGGAAACGGACCGATTCTGTAATTGTGGCCACAGCGCAAAACAAAAGGGGTCCAGCTTGTGCGCCTTATGGATGACACACACAGGAGAAGATGCTTTGACCGCCACATAGGCCTGTTTTGCCATAATGCATCCGCGATAGCACACTGCAGCCGAGCCAGAAGCCGCTTAGGGAGGAAGTTGAGCTGTGGGGCAAAGGCAACCTGTGGCAGCACTTTCGTGGCTAAAATTTGGGCCCGCTTGTAACTGTCACACGGCAACGATCGAATCGATTCACAGTCGCGTAGTGCAGCCTGAAGTTTGGTGACTGGAAAACTGCCCACGTTCTTCTTCGTAGTTTGGATGTGTGCTCCAAGTATGTTGACGACTTCAACTGCCTTCATCTGTGGGAAAGCTGATCTCATCAACTGGCGCAGTGTACTGGAAGTAGCGAAGATCTCGCATTTCCCTGCATTGAGAAACTGTCCACAAAGTGAATCCCACAGTTCTGTGGCACGCACTGCAGCAACCAGCTTGTCAATGGAGGGCAGCCGTGTCCAAAGATAAGTGTCATCAATGAATGCACGAAAATCAACACCATCAATGTTGGTGATGAGCCAGGCCCAAACTGCCATATGTAGATTGATGCAGAGTAGGCTGAGTGAACAGCCTTGTACTACACCATTAGCAGTGGAGATCGGCTGGGATCTCGTCCATTGTTTGAATGAAAGATATCGAGTCATTCTGGTGTAGAGGGCAAGAAATCCACAGACCATGCCTCTGGGTGGGCCTAGGGCCAGCATAAGGGCCGCACACAGCTTGGGTATCAAGCGATCGAAGCACCTAGATTTGTCCAACTTGAGGCCCAAGAAGGATCCTTGGAGGCTATGTGCAGAGTCAATCTCAAGCTGAATGGTCATATGCACCTCAGCCATCTGTCGGCCTTTTATACCACCCTTAAGTTGCCACGGCATCACATCTTGTTGCCACTGCTGTAACTGGGAGAAACGAAGTCCAGTGTAAAGAAGTGTGAAGACCGACTGGAGGGAAAAAAATGGTTTCAACAGCGGTGCATCACTCCCATCTTTGTTGTGGATAACCATCCGCACTTGCATCAAAATGGTTGGGAAGTCAATACTACCAGCCTCAATCAGATTGAAGAGTGAAGCAACTGGTCGAAAGGCTGAGGGAGGAAGTGCTTGTACTTCACGTGTCATCCTGGCCTTCTTTTGGCTGCCTGTTGCCAGAGTTGGTGCTCATCTATGGGGGGCAGCGTAATAGCTCGCCCTTTGTCATGAATGTAAGGCCAAACCTGTTTGAGGACCATCATTTCATGTTCGTGATCAGCATTAACTGAGAGCACTGAGTCCCACTTGGCGGCGATGGTATCCATGGCAGTTTGCGGATCGTAAATGATATTCCCAGCTTCGTCTTCGACCAGATTGGGCGGTGTCACCCGCCCTTTGCGCTTGAGAAACTGGTAAACAATCTTCCCAATGGTCATTGATGTGGTGGCATCCTTCATCGATTCCCGCCATTTCTGAATGGCTGCCAATTTCAAGCTCCGAAGCTCCTGCTGTATAGCATGAAGTGTAATCTCAACCAGGTGAGGAAGATCATGCACAAATACCTGCTGCACAGTGTATGGAACCAGTTTAGCAACTTTGAGCCTGCGGAGGAGCCGGTGCTGTGTATTACGAAAAGTGCGGGAGTCCCCGACACCACTTTCAGCTCGATGGAAGCGAAATTCCAATTCCCTCAATGAGCGAAGAATAGCCCGGAGGAGGAACAGGTGAGGAGAGGCACAATTGCCACTATCTTCCTGGAGGGTACATCGCCGAACAGACTGAAACTTGGGCATACAGCCTCGGACATGTGGCCCTTTCTCCCAGTGTGCTCCATTGAGTAGCAACAGTTGGATTGCATAGTTGTTGTAGACCTCCCATTTTGCATCCGCAGTGGCAGCACTTGCAAACTCTTCATCATAACTCTGCCACAACCGCTCATTCAAGATGTGGACAGGACATCCAGGATCTTCAGGGTCAGCTTTCTGGATATGATCAAGGTTCAGTTTGGCCACACGCTGAAGAACAGTGCCTGTTTGGTGTATACGGTCCCAGATAAATGTGGCCCGCACTGGCCGATGTTGTCGATCTTGATGTTGAAGGACTTCAATACCTACAAGGGCTGTCAGTGCTGTCCTATTCACAAGGATGCCATCGATGGACTGCCCATCGGCCTCAGTGGATGCATTGTGCTGAAAGAACGTAGCAGGCCGTGTAACCATACCTTGCTCATCTGTCTGCAGTAAGGGGTCAGCCCAACCCCAGTGGTCCAAGGCCAGTTGAACTGATGGATACATTCCCGGCTCCATCTGGAAATCACCTGCTACCGCGATCGGTATGTCACCATATTGTGCAGCCACTGTGAATATCTGATGAAGC